GTGAATAGACAAGATCTTTACCCCAGGGTGAGGGAGTCCAAAACCAGAGGGCATAGGTTTAAGATGAGAGGGGAAAGATTTAAAAGGGTTACAGAGATAGTAGGAACTGCCGATGCTGGAGAATCTGAGATGACAAGGTGTACAGCTGGATGAACACAGCAGGCCAAGAACAGTTCATCCACTTCACTAACACCTTCCACCCCAACCTTAAGTTCATCTGGACCATCTCCGATACCTCTCTCTCCTTCCTGGACCTTTCTATTTCCATCTCTGGCAACAACTGGAAACCGATATCCATTTCAAGCTTACCGACTCCCACAGCTACCTAGAGTATAGCTCCTCTCACCCACCTTCCTTCAAAAAGCCCATCCCCTATTCCCAATTCCTTTGCCTCTGCCGCATCTGCTCCCGAGATGAAGCATTCCACTCCCGGACATCCCAGATGTCCTCGTTTTTCAAGGACTGCAAATTCCCCTCTACAGTTGCCGAAAACGCCCTCGACCGTGTCTCTCACATTTCCCGCAACTCATCCCTCACACCCCCTCCCTGAAATAACAACCAAAAAAGAATCCCCCTCGTCCTCACGTACCACCCCACTAACCTCCGGAGCCAACGCATCATCCTCCGACACTTCCGCCATCTGCAATCCGACCCCACTACCAAAGACATTTTTCCCTCACCACCCTTATCTGCTTTTCGGAGGGACCACTCTCTCCATGACTCCCTTGTCCGCTCCACACTCCCCTCCAGACCCACCACACCCAACACTTCTCCCTGCAACCGCAGGAAGCGCTACACCTGCCCCTACACCTCCCCGCTCACCCCCATCCCAGGCCCCAAGAAGACTTTCCACATCAAACAGATGTTCACCTGCACATCTGCTAATGTGGTATACTGCATCCGCTGTTCCCGTTGTGGCCTCCTCTACATCGGGGAAACCAAGCGGAGGCTTGGGGACCGCTTTGTGGAACACCTATGCTCGGTTCGCAACAAACAACTGCACCTCCCAGTCGCAAACCATTTCAACTCCCCCTCCCACTCCTTGGACGACATGTCCATCCTGGGCCTCCTGCAGTGCCACAACGATGCCACCCGAAGGTTGCAGGAACAGCATCTCATATTTCGCTTGGGAACCCTGCAGCCCAATGGTATCAATGTGGACTTCACGAGCTTCAAAATCTCCCCTCCCCCCACCGCATCCCAAAACCAGCCCAGCTCATACCCACCTCCCTAACCTGTCCTCCCACTTATCCCCTCCTCCCACCACAAGCCCCACCCCCATCTCCTACCTACTAGCCTCATCCCGCCTCCTTGACCTGTCTGTCTCCTCTCCTCCTATCTTCTCCTTTAGCCATCTTCTATCCGCCTCCCCCTTTGTCCCTATTTATTTCAGAATCCCCTTCCCCTCCCCCAATTTCTGAAGACTGGTCTAGTCCCGAAACGTCAGCCTTCCTGCTCCTCTGATGCTGCTTGACCTGCTGTGTTCATCCAGCTCTACACCTTGTTATCAAAGATTTAAAAGGGACATAAGGAGCAACTTTTTTACGCAGAGGGTAGTGCGTGTATGGAATGAGCTGCCAGAGGAAGTGGTGGAAGCTGGTACAATTACAACATTTAAAAGGCATCTGGATAGGTATATGAATAGGAAAGGTTTAGAGGGATATGGGCCAAATGCTGGCAAATGGGACTAGATTAATGTAAGATATCTGGTTGGCGTGGATGATTTGGACCGAAGGGTCTGTTCCTGTGCTGTACATCTCTATGACTCTATGATGGTGGTGGTGCTGGTGTGTTACACTCCGTGAGGATTTCAAGTTGCTCTGGAACATGTGCTTTTGCAAGAATGTTACAATCTGGAGCTATGGACATCAAGTAGGAGAGGCTTCAACTTTCTGTCCATCACATGGCTCTCTGGCTATTATTACCTGCCATTAGCACATGTTGGAAGGAGTTACAGGTTGATAATCTGTATTCTGAATGCATCTTCCTTGACCATCAAGCCCTGGGGTGAGATGTGAACGTGAGCTTCTGGTTCAGAAGCAGGGCCACCAGTCATTGCATCACAAAACCTCCAACCAACTGACCAGAATTTAAGTTCTGCCATCTGATTAAATTAGCAGTAGGAAATAGGCTTTGTACACCATGTTCTCAAGAATTGATTTTCCATTGATATTCTTTTGACTTTGTCAATTGTGGGTCTCTTATGGATTTTTTAAAAATTCCTAATTTTTTTTAATGTACATCTCTTTCTTAACATTCTTCAAAAGGCAGAAGTATGAGGAAAGAGAACAAGAGTCAGAGCTTAAAAAATAAGGTGTCGCCCATTTAAAACAGAAAAAAACATTTTTTTCTCAAGGAAGATCGTGAGTATGGACTTCCCTGTCTCAAAAGGCAGTGGATACAAAATCTTTAAATATTTTTAAGGCGAAAGTAGATGGATTCTTGATGAAGCAGAAGATGAAAGATTATTGGGGATAAGCAGGGATGCAGATTTGAGATTGAAGACAGATCAGCCATGATCTTACTCAATGGATGAGCCGTCCTGAAGGGTCGAATGGCCTTGTTCCTTGTCACACATGTTTGTATGAAACAGTGAGACAGTGCTACTAATTGCAGGATTGACAGGGTAATGAAGAAGACGTTTGGTACGCTTGCCTTTATTGGTCAGGGCATTGAGTACAGGAGTTGGAAGGTCATGTTGCGGCTATACATGACATTGGTAAGGCCACTTGTGGAATCCTGCCTTCAATTGTGGTCTCCCTGCTACAGGAAAGATTGTGTTAAATTTGAAAGGATGCAGAAAAGATTTACAAGGACGGCTCTGGTGATCATTTTAGCTGCCAAGCCTCCAACCAATGAAGTAAATCTGAATTCCAGAGAAGGGGTGACTCCTGCAGCTGTCTCCAGCTGCTTTTATTCTGCATCAGTTTAAATAAACCATAAAAATTGAGCAATGTTGTGAATAAAGAACACCAGAGAAATGGTTTACCACTTTGGGTGCATCAGGAAATTGCTCACAAAAAGTCCGCTTGAAATTGGGCTGATTAGGTTGTCATTCAAGTTGTTAATATCCATGAGCAGAATAACAAATTGAAAATATCCCACAAGGCAATTGAGCTGTGTAAAGATTGTTTGTGATTGTTTATATTTTTCTTTACGTTAGGAATAATTTCCTGCTGTACTGGCTTCATCCCCGTCTCCTTGACCTGTCTGTCTTCTCTCCACCTATCTGCTCCTCTATCCACCTTCTATCATCGCCTCACCCTCTCTCTATTAATTTCAAAGCCCCCTTCCCCTCCCCCATTTCTGAAGAAGGGTCCAGGCCTGAAACGTCGGTTTTCCTGCTCCTCTGATGCTGCTTGGCCTGCTGTGTTCATCCAGCTCTACACCTTGTTATCTCTTTATCATAAATTGATAATTAATGTTTTGTATTCCTGTAGTCAGAACTGATTTTTTGTAATATATAGTAAATACAGAAACCTGGTCAGTGTCTTCTGTTATCTTGAGTCTACCAAACAGGTAAACATGGAACTTTGAGTTATTTGATTAATAGCTTTAATTTTGTGATGACCCAGGACTAGTGGGCTACATTTTAGTACATTATGTGGCTCCTCAGATGTTAATATTTATTTAATCACATTATTAAGTTTCTTTAAGTCTCTTTAGTTACATTTGAGAAGCAATGTACGGTGACAATTAATTATCTCAGCGCATGTATCTAAATAGAGAGTGGTACACCACGTTGTAACAAATGGGTGGAACAACCTGTATGGCTGTGTTGTCCATAAACCCGATGCACAAAAAGTGTCTCTTGGTTTTCTGTCTCACCAATTGGCTTGGCCCAGATGACACATGGTGTAGACTTATCCAGGCAAGTTAAATCTTGAGCTTACCTAACAGATTGTAGAAAGCGCAAATGGTTTGACATAATTTTGCTTTTAAACATTCCCTGCTCTTTTCAGTCGGTTCCACCCAATTTTGCACTGACATTACTAATAAAAATTATAACTGCGTATGTTTAATGTTTTATATCTGTTTTTATTCATCCACGCATTTTAGATGATTACATCTCTTTGAATTCCAAATTTAGTTGACTTTATTTTCCAATATTGTATGAGGATAAAAAGACATTTCGTAAGCTGCAATGTTAAAAGAATTGTTGTCAGACCACACTGGATGGAAAGAAAAATGGTGAGGAATTAATATCCGTTTTTCTTAAGCCATTGAGCTTTTGCAGTCACATCATTAGCATAATCATGTCCAGTGGTACCAATATCCATTCTGGCATAGGTTTGAACATTTTTTGTCCCAGCATTGTAAGCTGAAATCCCACCTGTAAAAAAGGCACCAGGAAATGCATTTAGTGCAATGTCAATGTACATTCAAAAGGATTATAGTGAAATGTCCTGAAGTGCTTTATGGGAGATATTATCAAACAAAATTTAACTTGCCAGGGTTGAAGGGTGTGAACTATAGGGAGAGGCTGAATAGGCTGGGGTTATTCTCCCTGGAGCATTGGAGGCTGAGGGGTATAGACGTTTATAAAATCATGAGTGACATGGATAGGATGAATAGTCAAGGTTTTTTTCCTGAGCATAGAGGGGTGCAAAACTAGAGGCATAGGTTTAAGGTGAGATGGGAAAAATTTACAAGGGACCTAAGGGGCAATTTTTTCATGCAGAGGGTGGTGCGTGTATGGATTGAGCTGCCAGAGGAAGTGGTGGAGGCTGGTACAATTACAACATTTAAAAGGCATCTGGATGGGTACATGACTAGGAAGGGTTTAGAGGGATATGTGCCAAATGCTAGCAAATGGGACCAGATTAATTTACGATATCTGGTTGGCATGGACGAATTGGACAAAGGGTCTGTTTCCATGCTGAACATCTGTATGACTCTATGTATAGGAAGGGCACTACAATAACCATGGGTGATTTAAATCTGCATCAGGACTGGCTAAATCAGATGAGCAAGGGTAACACTGAAGGCGAGTTTATTGAGTGGTTCAGGGGTCACTTCTTAAACCAATACATTGGACACCTTGCTGTATGACTCTATTTTAGATCTAGTAATGTCCGATGATATAGTTTAATAAGAGGTCTCATAATTAAGAATGCTCCAAAGAATATCAATCAATACATGGTAAAATTACAAATTCACTTTGAATGTGAGCAACTTATGTCTGAATCCAGTATTCTCAATTTAAATAAAGGCAATTAAAAAGGTCTGAAGGAAGAGTGGGTTCTTGAAATAAACTAAGGGGAAAATCAGTGGATGAGCAATGACACACATTTAAGTAGTTATTTCCTAACGCTGAAGCAGAATTTATTCTTGTCGAAAAGAAGGAGCTGATGAGAAAGAAGAATCACCCGTGGTTAACAAATGCAGTCAAGGAGAGTATCCAGTCAAAAACTAAAACATGCAACGTGGCAACAAATTGTGGTAGGCTGAACAATTTGGGCTTCTTTTTAGGAAATAGCAGCAGATAACTGAAAAGCTAATAAAGGGGGAGAAAATTGATTATGAAAGTTGTTGGAGCTGCGCATATTTGAGAGGCACAAAATGGCCAAAAAGTGTGATTAAAACAGAATTAAAAGCCTGCTCCAGCATTTAAGTGAATCATTGGTACTTTTGAGAAAGGGTTATTCCGAGGCCAAAGGGAGCATTGCATAAACAAATGTCTGCAAGGAGTGTATATAGAAACAGTCTTGATAAGAAATGTCCAAGGGTAGATAGTCTGAAGGTTTGTAATAAACATTGAAAGAGGAAGTAAACTTCTACCATAACAAACACAGATGAATTAGTGGGGTCATGGCTAATAAAAATCTGAAGGATGAAACAAGTTAATTCAACCACGACAAGTGATTAATTCCAGCTTCATTAATGAAAGGATGTTGTCCCATTAGGGGAAAAGGATCAGTCAGAGTGAGGACAATAAATCTCAGTCCAGAAGACAGTCAGCCGAACTCATCATGCAGTTGTGAAAACAGCAGCTAAAGTTATCTTGCAGTAATTAGTTTTGTTTTAAAAATTACTCACAATATTAAGAAATAGGTTCTAGTTAAAAGATTCTTTAGATAATCACAGAGATGGATTCCAACATAATTATAGATACAAGTATACAGCAAGATACATTGATTACCAAAAAGCATTAGGGAAAAGATTCAAACAATGATGTGAAAATTAGTTAGTCTTGCCCGGCATATCCTGTATGAAACAAATTGCTTGCAACTCATTAGCTAAAAAGTGCTAACAGGACAGGTAATTATAAAACATTACATGTAACTAACTTTAGAATAGAAATTAATATTAGGAATCTTATTGCAGTTAGTTAGAACCAATTGTCTTTTAGATATATACATAATTAGGACAGTGGAAAAATATGAGGAGTAACAGAATTTGATAGAGATGGAAAATGAAATACAATGAACGACAGAATTCAAGCTATCCTTAGGGATAAGCAAGACTGGGATATGACTTAAGGAGTACAGCCAGTAATTTTGGATTGCAAATTAATAGGATGCAAAGAAAGATTCTGGAGATTACAATGTCTGTTAAACACCATGAGATCATGGGAACCTAGGGCTATCTAGCCTTCCTGCTCCTATGATGCTGCTTGGCCTGCTGTGTTCATCCAGCTTTACACCTCATTACCTATCCACAGGAGTGTCCATCATTGATTAGGTATTTCACAGGATTGGATATATAGACCCACACACTGTAATTAGTGAACAGAGGTAACTGCACATTCTCTACATTAACAGTGAACACTGGAGCCCCGCCAAGGATGCATTCTCAGCTCCCTACTGTCCTCCCGATACACACATATTTGTGTTGCCCAATACCGAACGAATTCCATCTACAAGTTCACTGACGACACCACCGTGGTAGGTCGAATATCTAACAAAGAGTTGAGATTAATGGGTCTTTTCCAGGTTGGAAAGATGTAACAATTGGAGTGCCACAAGGATCAGTTCTTAGGCCTTAATTAATTACTGTCTATATTACTGATTTTTGAAGAAGCAGAGAATAATGTATCCAAATTGGCTGATGATACAAAGAAAGATGGGAGGGCTTGGTGCAATGAAAACGTGAGGAATCTGCAAGGGGATTTGGATTGGTTGAGTGAGTGGCTGCAAAGATGGTGAAGAATGTAGGAAAATGATGAATGTAGGAAGAGGTCATGCACTTTGAAGAAAGAATCAAAAAGACACAATATTACTTAAATGCAGCAAGACCAAAAAACTGCAACTCAGAGGGATCCGATTTTCCCTGTACATGAAACGCAAATAGTTATGCGCAGGTTCAACATGTAGTTAAGAAGGCAATTGAAATTTTGGCCTATGTTTATTTCTTGTTGGAGTTTCCAGAATTGGGTGAGTTTTATTACAATACAGGCTGTTTGTTCTCGCCATACCTTGGAGTACTTTGTCTAGTTTTAGTCCTCATATTTAAAAAAAGGTATACTAACAATGGCGATAATTCAAAAACATCTCAATTGGCTGATTCTTGGGATAAACAAGTTGACTTAGCAAGAACAGCCAAACGGACGAGGCCTTTGTTTATCAGTGCTTAGAAGAACGAGGAGTAATTTTATTGACACATTGAAAATTCTGAGGGCACCTGACAGGGTGGATATTGTGAAGATGTTTCCGCTCGTTGGTGGATCACAAGCTACGGGATACAGTTACAGAGCAAGAGGACACTCATTTAACACTGAGATGCGAAGCAATCTCTTTTCCCCAGAGGGTAGTGAATGTGTGAAATTCTCTACCCCAGGGGGTTGTACAGACTAGAGCATTGAAAATATTTAAATAAGAGGAAGATAGATTTTTGAAATATCAGGGAGTTGTCGGCTGGGGGGAGTTTGCACATTAGAAGATTTGAGGCGTCGGGCAGATCAGAATGGTGGGGGAGACTTGAGGAGATGACTGGCCTACTCCTTCTCCTAGTTCTCATGTTTATGTGCATTGTTGATATGGTTGGTTTTGATATTCTCAGGTATTTACTGTTCTGGACTCCAATTTAGCTACGAATGTTATACACATAGTGCCTGAATAGTCATAAGCACAATCTGTGTTCCACTTAAGAACAGATAAGAAATAAGTAGGTATTTTGAACGGACTGAAGATACTGGAGCATGAATCATTAGATCTAACACCAGCAGTCATGACCTCAGATAATGCATGCACCTTAAATGCTAGTATGAATTCTTACAGATAAATTCTTTCCTATGAGATGAAAAATAAATGAAAAGTCCCAAACCTTTGAGCTGCTTCTCTGGGGAACTTGTTTGCTATTCCTTTAATCATGCCCATCAGTATCTCTGTCCCCTGCTGAAGATGCTCTTCACTTGTCCCACTCTCCAACCACCATGTGCCAATTTTTGTCAACCTGAAATAAACATTACGTTTCTTTTCCATACACAGATATCAATACCTTCAAAGAGAATAAATGCAAACATGAATATCAGGATGATTTTAATGTTGTATTCAGGATTTCTTTGAATTCTGGAATGGGATGTGGGTGTCACTAGCATAGTCAATATTTGTTGACCTTGAATGGAGGGTGTGCTCCAGGCCATTTCAGAGGGCAATTAAGAGTCAATGCTCAGATCTGGAGTCACATGTAAGTTAGACTGGCAGTTTCCTTCCCTAAAGGGCATTAGTGAATCAGATGAGTTTCTCTTGACATTCAACAACAGTTTCATTAGCATCTTAATTCCACATTTGTTATTGATTTCAGATTCCACCACATTCCATGCCAGGATCCCAGAAAATTATGAGTCTCTGTACTCATAGTCCCATTTAAGAGAACTTACAAGCATTTGGAGCTGTCAATCAAACTCTTAACTGATAAAGACCCCACTGAGATAATGATAGGTTATAAAATCAGTTATGCGGCTCTAATCCTGCAATGATAAACCCCAGGCTTAGATCAATAGACAGAATGAAACGGCAAGCACTTTTTTTAATGTTGCAGGGTTTTGTTTTTCAAAAATTTAAATAGCAGGAGATTTAAATGTCCTGACACCTTGACAACTTCCTTTGACAGCTGCTTGAAAATTCCAATTAGTATATTCCTTTTTATCCCTGTCAATGTTTACTTTTAATTCTCTCAAAGGGCAATATCTCCCCATTCTTTCCCAAAAGAGACCTGGGACCATTTGTAAAAGGGTGCTTCGTCGGTTTGCCTCCAAAAAGGAATGCATTGGTATTTACCTCTTACATCACCTTAAAATGGACTTCCTCCAGCACTCATGTGCCATTGATGAGGCATATCAATAAATCATTAAGTCTTCTTCAACAATAGTTTCTATTCCTAGGACCCTTTACCGTATAGAAAGACAAGGGCAGAAGATACAAGTGATGCAAGCACCTGCATGTTCCCCTTTAAAGTCACACATCTTTCTGACTTAGAATTATATTGCCATTCTTTCACAGTTTCTCTGTAAAATCTTGGCACTTCCTCCCTAATAACATTGTGGATATAGCCACAGCACAAGCAATGCAGTTTTTCACATTCCTTCGTCAGTGCAGTCAAGAAAGTGCTGGCACCAAGAACAAATAAACAGAAAAATATGCCATTGAAAACACTAACTCTGAACCTGCCGATAACCATGCAGGGAGGATCTTTTTCAACACTTTACCAATGTGCCTCTGCCCGCCACACAAGGTGGAATTAAAAGGAATCTCTTTCTTTGAAGTGAATTAAAAGAACATGAGAAAATCAAGAATGAATCCTATTCAGTTTTTCTGATATCTTGCAATTTAAAAGCACTTTACTTGTTGGATATTTCAATACGTTTGTGTATCCAGTACTAGGGTGCAGCCAGCTGGAATGTAATATGCAGGGATGAAAGTGTTCGTACATGCTTGTATTTTCAGATATCTTCAACTCAAGAATAATGCTGTTCTGTGGGCTAATGTCTAGTACTATTGTACTTAGGGCTTGGTATTCAATGATCTACTAGTTCCTCGAGAATATCCATTCTGAAAAGCAGTAAACTATTTCTTACTCTTTTCACATTGATGGAACACTTTCCTCTGTGGAACTCTGTACTTCAACCTCATGAACCCCCAGAATCAAGGAACAGCTTTCCATGTTTTGTGTTTGGCCTGTCAAAGGGCATAGCATTGGTGTTGTACTAATCACTGCGTTCACATCTAATCTTTCCCCTCCATCTTTTAATAGAATCAGAAAATCTACCATAAAACATAGCTTGTAGCTGGGTTTGTACTGGTCTATCTAATCAGGGAGTCAGTGTTTATTGGGGGGAGGCAGGAATATGATGTTGGACGTCACAATCAGATCTGAATGACCAGAGTATTCTAGAAGGGACTGAATGGACTAATCCTGTTCCTAATATCTATATTTGTATATAGATCTGCTTGTAACGCATGACAGGATTTCTCCCCTGTCTGTCATAAAATGCCTTGCTTCCCACCTGCATGAGACCAAAAGCATTTCCATTGTCCCCCCAACCATTTTTTAAGATGTTGCCACCGCGGGATTCCCGACAGATGATAGCACTAATTATGGCTAGATCTATCTGATTGGCACAGGCGGCTTTCTCAATCAAAGTCTTGTACTTGTTCACTCTCTCCAAGTCTGTGCTCATCATCTTATGAGAGGCAGCCACACCTGAAAAAGAGAATGACATAAAAATCCGAGATAACAAGGTGCAGAGATGGATGAACACAGCAGGCCAAGCAGCATCATACGACGAGGAAGGCTGACGTTTCGGGCCGAGACCCTTCATCAGAAATGGGGGAGGGGAAGGGGGTTCTGAAATAAATAGGGAGAGGGGGGAGGCGGATAGAAGATGGATAGGGGAGAAGATAGGTGGAGAGGAAACAGACAGGTCAAAGATGCGGGGATGGAGCCAGTAAAGGTGAGTGTAGGTGGGGAGGTAGGGAGGAGATAGGTCAGTCCAGGGAGGATGGACAGGTCAAGGGGGCGGGATGAGGTTAGTAGGTAGGAAATGGGGGTGCAGCTTGAGGTGGGAGGAGGGGATAGGTGGGAGGAAGAACAGATTAGGGAGATGGGTATGAGCTGGGCTGGTTTTGGGATGCAGTAGGGGAAGGGGAGATTTTGAAGCTTGTGAAATCCACATTGATACTATTGGGCTGCAGGGTTCCCAAGTGGAATATGAGTTGCTGTCCCTACAACCTTCGGGTGGCATTGTTGTGGCACTGCAGGAGGCCCAGGATGGACATGTCGTCCAAGGAGTGGGAGGGGGAGTTGAAATGGTTCGCTACTGGGAGGTGCAGTTGTTTATTGCGAACCGAGCGTAGGTGTTCTGCTTGGTTTCCCCGATGTAGAGGCGGCCACAACGGGAACAGTGGATGCAGTATACCACATTAGCAGATGTACAGGTGAACATCTGCTTAATGTGGAAAGTCTTCTTGGGGCCTGGGATGGAGCTGAGGGAGGAGGTGTGGGGGCAGGTGTAGCACTTCCTGCGGTTGCAGGGAAAAGTGCCGGGTGTGATGGGGCTTGAGGGGAGTGTGGAGCGGACAAGGGAGTCTCGGAGAGAGTGGTCCCTCCGGAAAGCTGATAAGGGTGGGGAGGGAAAAATGTCTTTGGTGGTGGGGTCGGCTTGCAAACAGCGGAAGTGTCGGTTTGCAAACAGCGGAAGTGTCGGAGGATGATGCGTTGGATCCGGAGGTTGGTGGGGTGGTACGTGAGGACGAGGGGGATTCTTTTTTGGTTCTTATTGCAGGGACGGGGTGTGAGGGATCAGTTGCGGGAAATGCGGGAGACATGGTCGAGGGTGTTCTCAACCACTGAGGGGGGGAAGTTGCGGTCCTTGAAAAACGAGGACCTCTGAGATGTACGGGAGTGGAATGCCTCATCCTGGGAGCAGATGCGGC